GGCCCCACGCTGAGACACACAGCTGCTGTCTGGACCCCCACGCCACCACCCTCCCCCCATCCGCCGCCCAGAGTGACAGTGCTCCCCTCACTGGCCAGCTCACTTGTGCGCATCCCCAGGTCCAGAGAGGGACACCCCTCAGCCCTGTGCCAACCGGCATCCAGGACCGGGACCTGCACAGAGCTAAAAGAAGCCACTCAGAGTGCTCACCTGTGGCATTTGCTTCAGTCTATAAACGTACTTGAGGTGGGTAAGGTCTCTGAGAGAATCTGAAAACTGAGTAAGTTGGGCTCAAGGGAACCCCAAAATGGATCGGGGTTGGGGGGAGACCAGCTCGGAACCCGGCCGCCCGACACGAGCCTGCAGCGTCTGCTCCCTCGCTGTGTAAGCGGCTAACCCACCACGCCCGCCTTGCAGGGAGGCCCCTGGCCATGAGCCGCTGTCCTTTGTCCCCCTCCCACCTCCAGTCAAGGTTAGTTGCTGAAGTCACAGCCGCGGGCCACTGATGCGTGGATGGACTGGGCCCAAGGAGGACACCACCTCGGGGCCAACCCCGGGGCCTGCTCACTGCATCGCGGTGCGAATGAGGGTGTGCCAGTGCCCACAGGCATGCCAGTGCACACCGTGGCCAGAGGGTCTGGCGGCGGATGGGGGCCTGGGCAGGCGGTGGCCGCCTTTGCTGCCGCTGCTCCCCCTGGTGGCTGCTGCTGCCCAGGGGCTGCAGGACCCCCCCCCCCCAGCTCTCAAGCTGCACGTCAGCCCCAGCTGCTGAGACTCCGCAGGGGTGCCTACCCCAGCCCAGCTAGACCGGAAGCTGCCAAAGGCCAAGCAGGCTGGAGGACAGGAGGGGGTCATCCACTTCCTTCTTTTTTTTTAAATATTTATTTGTGCATACAGAACTGGGGTACAGTCCAGAGGCTCAGGGGCTCTGAGAGGATTCCCCAGAGACAGAGTGGGGAGCAGAACAGGCAGACTGAAAGTACACTGCTGAGGGGAGCAGCGGGCGGGCCAGGAGAGGTCTGCCGCGCCACGTGGGTCAGCTCCCTGGCCGGGGACTGAACTCACACTGCAGGGGCTGCCCACAGCTTCAGAGTGCTGCGCTTTAACCTGTTGCACCACCAGGGAGGGCCCCTCCGTAAACACAAGTACAGGAGAAGCCTCACCTCGCCTTTCCGCCTGCTCTGTAACTGGCTGAAACCCTGCCAGGCAATGGCAGAGATCAAATTCAACCTATTCTCCAAGCACCCACCAGTAAATAAGCCGAGTCCTTTCAGGAACAGGGGTCTCTTGACAAAGAAAAGACTCCTGAGAATACAGTCGACCCTCGAGCCGAGGGTGTGAGCCGCGTGGGCCCACTTACACGGCATTTTCTTCTATCAATGGCCCTACCTTCACGGATCAATCTCCCCAGAGACCCGCTGGGTGTGCCAGCAGATACAGGACCCAGATACAGGTTAGGGGAGACATTAGGGTGCTCCCTGGCACTGTAGCACAGGTTTGGCTACCTGTGGGGCTGGAGGGTGCTGAAACCAGCCCTCTGCAGACATGTAGTCAACTTTCAGAGGGTCAAATTTATACCCAGGCTTTTGCCAGCCCAGGGGGCCGTGTCCCTAATGCCCACGTTGTTCCAGGGTGGCGTTGTGGAAAGTTACTGGGGGAGAGTCGGGGCTGGAGGAGACAGGTCAAGGAGCTCCCCGAGGTACAGAGTGACGGACGCGACTCAGCCTTGTCCACGGGTCGGGTGGGCCCTGCTCCGGGGTCGGGAGCTGCCAGGAGACAACTCTGGACAGTCGGTTGTGTCCACTAGACCCAGGCGCGGCCCAGAGTGTCGGCCTGCTATGCGAGGCCCGTCCTTTGCCCTACGTCTCACGCCCAGGCTGGCTCCACGGGCTCTCAGTGGGTCCCGAGGGCCACGAGGGTGAGAGTCCAGCAGACAGCCCCGAGCCGAGAGCTGGCCAAGTCCCCCATGTATGTTGTCCTTCTTTTCGTTAGCGGAAGGAGACACAGTTCATCTCCACACTGTCGTTGAACTCAGCAAAAACGAGATGGCTAAATCAATAGCCTCCCAGTCTTTGCTGAGTGCTCTAAGAAGGCACCATGGCAATGCCAATATTTTTGTGTCCAGAATGACATTCATTTCTCCTCACTTCCTTCCTGCTTCTGTGGATTATTGAATACTGCTACTGAGTCAGCTCAAAGCGAAACTGAGAGTGGGGGAAGCCTGCCCGCCAAGTCCACACCCCCCCACATAGAACAACGCCCCTTTCTAGTTCTCTGTCCTGTGCTCCCAGCACTCAACCCTGTGGGATTATTTTCTGTGGGTTCCACCTCGAGTTTGGGGCTCCTGAGAACTCAGATTTGACCAGTTTCTTACCCAAAACCTACTCAGGTCCAGGAAGAAGCTGCTGTCTTTCCATATATGCTTTGATGCAGGCCTCCCAGCAAATCTGTAAAATAGCTATTATCCTCGTGTGGCAGAAAACAGATCCATGACAGGTCCACCCCCGCGTGGACACGCGTGCAGAGAGGAGGCTGGGTGCAGGCCCTGCGCTCCCCGCTGTGTCCTCTCTGGCCAGGCGTGGCCCAAGCACCTCTAAGCGGCCACGAGCAGACACAGTCGCAGCCTCGAAAACAGCCGGAGCGGGTGGGTCCTCGGTAAGACACTGGAAAGCATTTTGCAAGCTGTGAAGTTCAATCAACAAAAGGAGGGATTTGATTACATCATGCTGGCCCCCGGCCTCCTCCGGAAAATGAGCGCCGAGCCCAGGAAATACACGCACCCGCTCACTGCATGCAGACAATTGGTCACCTACCTGTCCAGGCGCTGGACGTCGTGCTGGATGGGTGGCCAGGCTGCTCCTCCCCTCCCAATAAACCTGAGTCCTCACCGAGTTGGTCAATCCTCCTGTGTCTCTCAAAGCTGTCATTCTGTCTCCTAAGTCACGGCAGCAGCCTCTCCCGGTGACGACCCATCCTGCCCCCACGCTGCCTCTCCCACCATCTCCATCCTGCAGCCCGCGTGAGGCTGCTCAGGGGCAGGCGAGACAGGCGTCCGGCTTGTAGCAGTGGACGCTGGCCACCACCCCCCAGCTTCAAGTGCAGCGCCGTGCCTGGCTGCCAGATGTGAGCAGTCGCCTGTCTCAGGCACAGCAGCGACAACCGCAGCAGGAGCATGTCACAGCACCTCCCTTGGGGGGCCTCGTCCACCCCAAGGTGGGGCTGGTGCCCAGCCTGGGCAGGCCGCTGTCATGGCTCTGAGTGCCGATCACGTTGGCTCTCCTGTGCCCACTGGCCGGTGAGCACAGGGGTGCGGTGGGAGCTCCCCCAGCGTGTTCACGCTGCTTGGCACAGCGGGTACCAGTGACACGGAACTGAACCGAGTGAATAACCATCTCGTCTTGGCGAGCTCGGGGGGAGTTCCCATGTGGTGCAAAGCCAACCCGTTGCTTCCTCTTTGCTGAATGCCAATGGGGGTTGGGGGGGAGTTCTCCCACATCACACGAGACTGGGGGAGCAAGCGCAGGGCCCCTAGGGTTAACTCAGCCCCCCTCTCCGGAACTAGAGAACCCTTCACCAGAAGTCCCCAGGGAGTGGGCCCTCCCTGGTGGCACAGGGGTTAGAGCGCAGCACCGCAAGCTGGCTGCAGTGTTTCAGTGCGAGTTTGGTCCCCGCCCCGGAGGTGACCCACGGGGCGCGGCAGACCTCTCCTGACCCGCCCGCTGCTCCCCTCAGCAGTGTACTTTGTCAATCTGCCTGTTCTGCTCCCCACTCTGGTGAATCCTCTCAGAGCCCCTGCACCTCTGGCCTGTACCCCAGTTCTGTATGCATACATAAATAAATCTTTTTTAAAAAGTCCCCAGGGAGAGGAGGAGAAGATGTCCGCCTGTCCTGGCAGGCCCCCTCCTGCCTAGCCAGGCCCCCCGCTGCCTCTCCGGCATCTCTCCTCTCACCAGAGTCACGCTCTGTCCCGCAGGCCAGGCAGCCCAGGCCGCTGGTACCCACAGGCTGGGAGGCAGGGTGCCAGCCAGAGGGCAGAGGAAGGGGCTCCCTCCCTACCGAGTCCTAGCCCCGCAGTCACGGGGAGGGCCCCCGGGAAACCGCCCAGGACCTTATTCTGAATGTCTGGATGCTGGACAGAGGGTCCCTCAGGCTCCTCCGCCCTCTGAGGGCCTGTGCGGACTTAGGACACTGCAGTGCAGGATGGGTCCCAAAGGTCAGTGCTTTAGGGCAGTTCTGGGTAGACCTGGCTCCTCCCTTGAGAGGCAGGGGGCCAGACCCCATGTGTGGAGAGGTTTAGATGACCCCAAACACAGAACTTCCCTCTTGGGTCCTGCCCCACGGAGGTACACACAGCACAGCCTTGGCCCAGAGCCAGGGGCCAGTTGGTTTCTCTCATCTGCAACTTGTCTCTGTGACCCCACGGAAAGCCCACAAACCAGCACCCCAACCAGGGACGACTTGTGCAGCAAGGCGGCCAGTCCAGGGCTCACGGCTGGAAGGGCCGCCCGCCCTCCCGCCACCACCTCGAGCCGAGCTGACTCGGTGCTTCTGCTCTTTGAAGCCACCTCAGAGCCTTCCTAAGAGGGTCCAGGCCAGGTAAGTCCCTCCCCCAGCAGGAGCCCCAAGGACAGCAGAGGCCCAGTGACAGGCTGCACTGACAGGCCCACCCCCACCGGGAGCCAGGAAGGAGCCGTCCTCCCTGCCCCAAAACCGGCCGTCTGTGGGGGCGACAGGACACACGTGGGAGTCAGCTTCCCGAGCACAGCCTCGGCCGCTGGGACTGGCCCCGACGGAGTCTGCATCGGGCCACAGGAGACGGCGTGGGAGGCATCTTCCTGCGCCCCCAAGAGAGGGCAGCACCTCTGGACTCAAAAGGAGGACATGAGGTCCCTGCTGAGGGCTTGGACAGAGGTCGGCTTGTGCCTGACCCCTCCGGACCCCACCAACCACTGCGTGAAATAAGACACAGCGACGCGAAGAGCCAGCCTGCCTGTGCTTTGGACACTTTATCAGGTTTTATTTAAAAACATGCTAAAAACTCGGCGTTCAATAAAGCCAGGACCAGGATGAAGGAAACGCACAGATACGGCATTGCAAGCGGAAAGTGCATGGAAACCAACAAGCGTGCTCCCCCTCTCTGCTCGCTGCCCCTGGGGCAGGCAGCCTGCAGGTGTGAGCCCCAGCGCTGCCCCTCTGACTGCCGGAGGGGCGGGGCGGGACCCGTGTGGTCTACCACCCATCGGGGAGGGTGGGGGAGAGCAGAGACAGAAGGGGACTCTGGAGGGCCAAGGGATGAAGAATGGGCCCCAGTCACCTGGAACCCAGCTCCCATCCTACGCCAGGCCCATGCTCGTGAGCAAGCCCACCACTGGGTGGGCGGGGGGTGGGGAGGGCAGAGTTATTTCCGCCCGCCTGGGCTGTTTGGGGCCCCTAAAGCGCAGAGGGATGGCTGCCTGGGCCCAGTCCCACCAGAAAATGTGCCTGGGGCCTGGGGTGGGGTCGGCACCCCTTCCAGAGTGAGCCCGAGATGCAGACCCATGCTGGCATCCCCTTTGGGGAATACAGATGGAGACGTGTACCCCAACACCTGCTGCATGCCCCCAAGGGTGGTCTCAGCCTCTGCTCCCCACCTTTGGTGAGGGCGGCATGGTCTACGGCAGGGATCCCCTTGAAAGTCTACAGAACCTTGACCTCAGTCAAGTCTGTAAACTGCCTGTGGGCCAGCCTGGGCAGCTCTGCTGTGGCCAGGGAAGGCGCGTGGAAGTCACTCGGCTAGGTCTGCTGGACATGGGCAGGTGAACCGGAGGACACTGGCCACCGTCACTGACACCCCAGAGTGACTCCGCGTGTGGTATGGGGAGGCTCTGTAGCAAGGGCACAGGCTCGGCCAGACACCCCACCGCTGCGCACCCACACTTCAGCCAGTGCGCGGCTGGCGAGCGGCGGATCGTCCGAGCACAAGGTGCAGCCAGAAGGCAGTTTTGGGAACCGTGGACCAGGTTCTGCAAACAGGCAGGTGACGTGGTGGCCGGGGGAGGGGGCAGGGTTGTGGCAACGGCCCCAGGGCCAGAGGATGCCCCTGAAGTTCTAGAAATGTGAGATTTCCAGGGAGGCTATACACCCCACGATGTGCTAAACTTCTGCTGTTGATTTTAACAAAAATGAAAAATTGCATTGATAGGCATAAACAAACCCGCCACCCTCGTGCCCCACGCCCGTGACGCCCCACGCCCCCCACACCACGGAGCGTGGGTTTGCTCCAGCGTCCCTCCACTGGGGCAGCCCTGCCCCACACTCCGCAGCTGGGGTTCCGGGAGGCAGGGAGGGGGGTCTGCACCAAGAAGTCGGGGCCAGGGGGCCCGGGGCGGCAGCTCCTCTCAGCGTGTGCGCGCCCACTCTCCCCTGAAGGACCCCCCTTCCCCGCTGTGCCATGAGCCCCTTTGCTCTACTCTCAGGGCGGTGGTCTTCCTCTGCCCTGTTCCCTGAGACCACCCCTCTCCACCCTCCAGCACCCCACCCCGACCCGCCCAAAGGGTGAGTCCTGAACACACCCGAAGATCTGCTCTCCTGGCACCCAACTATTTCACCGAGAGGTGAGTGGCGCAGCTGGTGGGCAGCGGCCTTCAGTCTCGGGACGGCAGACAGGTGGCGGCCGGGCAGGGAACCGTGGCCCGGTGGGAAATCGAGGCAACCAGTCAAATGGGGAGAAGGAACCCCACCATCCACACACGCACGGTCCCATGGGGGAAGTGCACCAGCGTCTAGCCAGTCGCGGGGTAATTTTTCCAATCTCAGTCCTGTGGACTCTTTTTCTCTTTACTGCGACATGTTCAACTCGCCCAGAGGACGTTTTCGGGGGGGGCTGCTGCCGCTGTAACTCCCGCCGGCCTGTTGTCTCCCAAGTCTGCTTTGTCCTGGGGTGCTGTAACAAGATCCAGGCTGATCGCTCTAGAGTGTTCTTCTCCTTGGGGTCACAGAGGACATGGCGGCCACCCAACCAGCATCCCTGCGCCCGAGGAAGGCGAGGAGGGTCCTGGGACCCTCCAGCAGGAAGCCAGCGCGGGACTCCGGCTGGAGGGGTGGTATCCTCCGCGCCCCGCCCCCCGCCCGCTGGTCACTGGTCCTCAGGTGACTGTCTTAGCAGCAAAGTCGAGGAATGGCTTCCCCTTCCAGAAGCAATGTGAGGAACTGGGCATCCGAACTATAGAGGTATTTGTCTGAGAGTTTCTAGCAGGAATGTCTGAAAGTAACCGGGGTTTGCAGACCCTGTGGCAGGAACGCCTGTGTGGGGTGGCCGGGGCGCCCCTGTCCGTGCCAACAGAGGGCAGGAGGACAGAAGGGGAAGGGAAACTTCATCGGCGGGCCAGCCTCGGGCACCCTGGCTGCCCCCGCCGCCTCGCTCAGCACAGGCTTCGTGCCAGGCGGCCCCCACCCTGCTCTCGGCTCCCACGCCCCAGCCCGCCCGCTTGCGCCCCTCTTGCGCCCCTCGGCTGGGCGCGAGCAGACGCAGCGCTCCCCAGAGGGGCGCAGCGGGTTTCCCTGACCAGCTCCAGACAGGCGCCCCTCTCCCTGCTCCTCCCCCACCCTCAGAAAAAATCAAACCGTTACAGAAATCAACACAGTAAAAAGTCATAAATCAGAGCACTAACCCTAAACTTATCTGGGAGATAATATTCCTGAATAATCATAATCAGAGTAAAATAAAATAAAAAAGTTACACTGTAAGGTATAAAAAGCCCGGGCAAGGCGCACCCAGGGGCCTGTGGGAGGCAGCGAGGGCCCCGCCCGACCCGCCAGCTGTCCCCCTCATACGGGCACCGGGAAGGGGGCGCTCGCTCCCCGCCCCACGGGAGACACAGCGTCAGTGTGAGGGGGGCCGGGCAGAAACCCGCCGCCGCTGCGGGGCCTCCTGGCGCCCGTGCCCGGCCCCCGCCGTCTTCTTTGGCAAATGCACAGATGCAAGAATCCGGGAGCCCCGACACCCCAAGGTCTCCGCGTGCCTCCCGCCTTCTCCTCCCTGGCCTTCCACCCACCCGGAAGGCAGAGGGGGTGGCAGGAGGGGCAGGGGTGCAGGCTGGGCAGTCTGGAGCGTGCGGGCCGGCAACGCAATGCTGGAACCTTCTTCCCTGGCGCAGAGTCCGCACGGGCGGGCGCGCCGCCTGCCCGCCTGCCCGCCTGCTCAGGCGTCGTACTTTTTACCCGTCCGGCGGATGTGCTGGAAGAGGGTCATGGAGAAGGCCATGCCCAGAATCTGCAAGACAGCGGGAGGGGCCGTGGTCAGCGGGGGTGGGCCGAGGGCCTGCAGACCGCGCGGTGGCC